TACTGCTTCACCAAAAAAATAAATAAATAAGAGAAACATTTAAATCACATCAGATCAGCATACCACAGATTAACAATATTCCAGTGCGCAGTTTAACCCAGAGAGCAATCTTTAATGCTTATCCTGTAATCGTAGGATTGTATGGCAGCCTTCCATCGCTACCTGTATGAAGAATAATTACGCCAGCATTTTTGGCAAGGCATCTAATGCCGCAGATTGTAATTAAGTTGTAAAGATTACTGTGAGGGATTGCTTATCAATGATGTTTTTGGCTATTTATCATTGCAGTTTAGGCTTCTTTTCTTTTCCTTTCCTCCTCCTCGGTGAGGCTGGCAGAATTTGTGTCTGTTTTGGAGCCAAAAAAAGGAGCATCTTCTCCCTTGCTTATCGATCTACAGAAATAATTTCTTCAGAATTCCAACTGTTTTGTGGTTTCGAGCGAGCCTTACACACTTCACGTTCTGGGCGTTTTTGCCTATGTGGCTTCTTTTTCCCCTGCAGCTCTACTATAAGACTTTTTTTTCTTTAACTCAGTAGATAAAATCCATCCTATGAAAGTGAACCTTGACACATACTGACTGTCTGGTTGATTGTTACAGATTCTGATGAAAAGCAACGTCTTTGGGCCATATATCAGAATTACTCTGACTTGCTTTGATCTGTAACATGGGATGTATTGACATATGTGTTTATTAAAAAGCACTTTTTAGCTGAAATTAATAGGTTTAGTTAAATACATGAGTGTTAACAAAATCTTTAGGGCCCGGTCACTCAATGGTGTTGCTGTAACACACGCTTTATTGCACATTACATGCGCTGGTGTGATGTGGTGCTATTCATTCTAAATGGCACCCCAATGTACCTTGCTGATGTGCAACATACTAACATGTGCTGCACTGTGCTGCCAAAAAATGGTGCAGCAATGCAACAAGCAGCCGCTGGTGTGAACGAGCCCTAGTTGGTGCAGAAGATATCAAGCATGATGGAAAATAAATACAACCCCCACAAGAGTGAAGTAGATGTTGTGTTCATTGTGTTAGCTCGTGACTTACTACAAGAATGGGTAGTAATCAGATCTTGTGTTATAATAGACAAAATAGACACCTATTCAATAAGAAGCAATTGCAGTGTACAAAGCAAACCATTACCAAAGTATTTCATGACTTTGGTAATGGCTAGTACCCTGATGCCTTTAGCGTCCTCAGATAGGGGTATTTGAAGTCTCGCAGTCCATAATGAGTTTTCACAGTTACTGCACCATCCACGCTCCTTTTTGTCTTGTTAAATAGGGTAATGGTGCATGTGTAAGAACCTTCCAATGGCCATACAGCTTAACCAAAATGTTCCTATACATTTACACTTAGACACAAGAACATGGATGAACCTCCTGAGGTTGGTTGCAAAGAGAGGTAATTGGTTGTGGACTAATAGAACAATGTAAAGTATGATAGCACCCAAATAGAGTGTGTGCAGTTATATGCCTTTAACCATTTGTACATGCTGCTATGTAGCTTGCACCATCGGGTGACTGTGCTGATTCAGATAGTGGTCAACCGCTACTTATTGCTGTTTATAACTGCTCATTTTAGTTTTGCCATTGAGCTACTAAAAAAAAATAATCTGGATAGTTTAATGCATTAGGCCACTTGCGGCTACTCTGCTGTCATGGAACTAACACCACCAAGCATGATGTGCTGGAACTTGTGGTTCGACGACTACAGTAGCACTTCAGGTTACCAATTACATCTGTGTATCTTTGTGTATCAAGCTAATTAACACATTTGTTAATGTTATTATTAATTCTTATCTAAAAGTAATTTTTCTATGAGTGCAAGTGTGTGCATGTGCACATATTTTATCACATCCTAAAAGGGCAAGCCAGCAAATCACTGCATTTAAAATACTCTTAAAGGGAACCTGTCACCCAAAAAAGGAGGGCTTGGTCAGACTGTGGCCTTAACTTAGATTAAACAGCACATGCCCCCCTCCCCCCTCTTTTTCAATGTCTGGAATAATGTTAATAGTTAATGCCATATTCAATCTGTGACCAGATAGTGTTAATAAATACAGTGTCCAGGCAAAGAGAAACATCCAGTTTCTCTGCTTATCGCAGACATTTCTGCAAAAACTCAGAACAGAGGGCTAGCAACCTGTTGATTTTCCACTGCTGAGTATTTTCAAAAACTAAAATATTTCCTTCATTGTTTTTGTCTGTTCAACAACACCATAACATTGCTTCCATTTTTTTTTTCAATAGTTACCAATAGAGCTCATTTACTAAAGAATGACATATCATGTGGAAGGGAAAGAAAAACATAAAATTTGAGTTTGCACCTAATTGGATGATTGATGTGGACATTCACTTTGCAAAGTGATACATCTATAAATTATAAATATCAAACCAACTGCTCCAAGTGGGTCTCAGTACTCACACCCGGCCATAATCTGGTGATGGTCTGGTTTGCCTTGCCGGCAGATAATTACCAAGAATAAGAAGGATTCATGGCACAGCTAGGAAAAAAAGTTTTTCACTGTCCGGTTGTTGGGCGGTAAATCCTCCATGCTCCATCCTTTTTATTATAGATCTATAAAGTAGTCTAACTACAATGTAAAAAAATAGATACATATCTGTAATTTAATCCACATAGTTATTAGACATTCGTGGTGTATACCAGTAAAATATAAAATTGAACCCTTTTAGTGTTATACGGCGCACCAAATTAATTAAAAACAGTTGATGAAGCCATAGTCGAGCCAGTGGACATTACGTACAATGTGTATGCCTACAGGTCGGCATTCCAGCTCTTTATTCTCCATATTATGTCTTATTTGTCTCCGTTAAGGTATTTACTAGTGTTTGGGAAAACAGATCAGGGAGAGCGAGGCCATTGTCGTCTTGTGATGCTGATGGATGTTGAGTGCCTGACCCTGCTTCCTGAGACATGACTTCACTGCTTGCTGAAAACACTGCAGATTTTTTGGGGTCTCCTCAGGGACTTCTTGATAAATCATCTTTCTTTCCTTTATTTTTTTTTCCTTTCTTCCTTTTTTTTAATAAAAATGCCAGGGAAAATATTTCAGGCCCCTCTTTGCTGCGGCGGGACTCACGTGTCACTCAGAACAGTCAGCGACGAGCAAAAAGAGACCTCAAAAGACATATTTTCTGGCAGGATAAAGGCCCTTTAATGCCTGTCCAGCCTTAGATAATTTTATTCACTCCTCCTGGACCTTTCCTTTATTTCTCCTGTGCCCAGAGATCAGTTTTTAAGAGGTGGGCTGAAAGATTCCCAGGCCTAAAGCGCTTTTGTTTTGCCCCCCCCCCCCTTCCCCCTGAATCAAGGCTAAGAACATTTGTAAAGGGACGTCTGCTGGTTGCTAAGAAATAGTTAAACCTCTGTCACTAAGAGAGAGAGGATAAAAAAAAGATTCACAATATTGATTGTACGAAGGTATATGTGGACCACACAACACGAACGCTTACTCTGGAATATCTCTCCTTTTTTTAGTCGATCTTGGGGCATTACCCTGCCTGAACTTGTTTAAACCCTCGTGGTCACACCTCTTGAAAAGGTTTTGTTCCGACCGTCAATTGGTATTCAAACCAGGTCAGCAGATACTGTTTGCTGCTCCTAGGACCGTTTTCATTTTAATTTGCACCTGTTGTGCAGTTGTTCAGAAGGCAAGTGCAGACTCGCAGATTATACAAAGATCATATTATGGGCAGATATGCACGGTGTAATCTTTTTGTCCCCAGACTCCCATGACAAAAAAGGGAAAAAAAAATTCTGTCTTTTTTGTTCCTCTTTTTTTCCTCCCTGGGAACTTGTCAAAGCAAACAGATATGACTGTCGAAAAATTTGTAAGTAGACGTGATTCAAGAATTCAACCAAAAGCATTCTAATACTGATAACGTATCTTGGCAATCCCATGTGTGCCTAACGGATGGTGTGTTTCTGTCGCTGAGCTAATGCCCTGTGTTTATTACACTAATCTTTCTTGTCTGCTGGTAAAGTGGACAATTTATGTGCTATCATGTAGGCCGAGTTCCTTGTGAGGGCTGACTAATTTACAAACAGCCACCTTCAATTGAGTTCACAGACCTTATTTGCGGCCTGTGCTCGTGTGTTTTATACAGCTGCTTCGCGGTTTTTGGACAGGGAGTTGCGTGGTGTGAAGCTAAGTTCTTTTTATCAAAGTTTCATTTCAACATTGCTTAGCATTGCTTGAAATTTCTTGACATTTTAAGAATGAGGCCTACTATAAGTCTAAGGCTAAGCAAAGAAGAACAGGCATGAAGACATCTTCTGGTCCTCTGTAGCTCCTGGATCGGGCTCTGTTTCTTATGTTATTACTATGGCCTTGGCACTGCAAGGGTGATGCTGTGTTTTCCTCTTTCTTCTCAATGGGTTAACTGAGCAAACTGAGTCATTTTGTTGTGCTACCACAAACATTTGTGACACTTGGCAGAACTCTTTATTATCTAGATGCCCAGTTACCTCCTACAAGACCAGCTGATGCAATCCCCTCTTTAGTTTTAGCAGAAACAGGTAGTTTTAGGGCAGATTTTAGACCACAGCCATAACATCATAGTGATGATATCACTGCAGACAGCTCCTCTCATGTGATAGTCTCATGACTATATAGGTTTGTTCTTTCAGAAAATCTTAGTCTTAGTATCAAAGTAGACCAGTGTGGTTCACAAGTCACATTAATCTTTTAATGCCAATACTACAAGTAACAGCACCACCTTGACATTTTCTCCCAAAGTTTATAACATAATAAAACCAGTTTTTGGCCTCTCCATGGGCCTTTCGAAAAGAAAGAATGGGATGCCATTCACTAACCACTGGTTGGAATTTGATAAACTAGGAATGTAGATGATATGACAAGTGTTGCAAATGTATTAACAGAAAATAAATCGGTCTTGAGATTGTTTTGTAAAATTGGGCATTTTAGGTGCTTTATTGATCTAAATTATATTTTTCACATTTGCTTTACAGTATTAACCTTCGACAATGTAGTAGACACGGGTTCGGAGACAGATGAAGATGAAAAGCTCCACATCGCTGAAGATGACAGTATTATTACCACATTGGACCAGGAAACAAGTCCGGCTAGTATGCTCAATCACGAGTCTTCACCGCACGCCAACCAGGTGTTACTGGCAAGAGAAGAAGAGGAAGATGAGCTGAGGGATGGCGGGATAGACCACAACTGGCACAATGATGATCTTCTGAAAGCTTCCATAGATGGTTCTGGTAAGTGTAAAATATTTTTTTCTATCAATATGGACATGTACTGGGCCTCATGTATTATAGTTTTAAGAAGGAATTGTCATGATTGGTAGTAAACACCATTCAAACTCCTATCATTCTTTTTGTTCTTGATGATAAAAGCTTAATTCAGGGCAAAGTAACAAAGTAACTGCAGAGATGTCTGTGAAGGTTCTCATTCATCCAGGTCATGGTATATCTGTAAGAAATAAGTCAAGGCAACTGGACTTGCTGTATTTTTGTTTTCCACTGGATAACCAGTGAAATGTCTTCAAGAAAAATACAGCAAGTCTAAGCCACTTCATGGTATTCCTCAGAGGCCCTAAAGTTCTGAAATGTCAAAGTTATGTTATTGAATTCACAGTTTTGCCCACCTTGCCCTGCTATCGTTTGGTATTTTCTGTTCCCGGCTGTATTTTTTTAACATATATTATAGATGATACAGAAAAAAAAAGGAAACACTCAGTTGGACGAGAACAGCCATAACTCCAAACTGGATGGTAGCAGTGAGCTATCACTGTCTTAATTCCCGAGATATATATGACAGGGTGTGACTTAGCAAAGCGGAGTCCACCTACAATGGAAATATCGCATTTGTGAGGACTGACCCTTTAAAGTATGATCACCCACAGTGCAATAGTATACTTGTTGTTTTAAGTGCTGGCTTTATGGCTTTAACCGCCTGATCCATCCCTTAGAACTAGGGAGTCGGCCATTCCAAAGCTAAAAAGCAGTTCAGTTTGCTCGCTCTTGGTCTATTTTTTTTTTCTTATGTCAAACGAATTACTAGCAGCATCTGTATCCGAGCTTCCAAACAAATTATAAACCGCTTGTTAAATCTGATATATTTTTTTTTTTTCATGAGTCAGAAGGGCTGAACATTTTCAGAATCTCACATAAACATTTATCGTCAAAAGCTCCAAGACCTTAAGGTTGCAGGTTTTTGACTAGGGGGAGCTGAGCTAAAGATGGTGGAAAGATAAATACGTTTAATTAGGGGGCATAGGATGATCATTAAAGGAAGTCTGACTGCTGTACAAGTCATTAACAATCTTAAATGAAATTTTTATTTTTATGATAGCCATTTACATGTATAATAAGACCCAATGATTCTTGGGAGCCGGGTGACAGAAACTGAGTGCGACAAGAAGTCTTGTATGACATGCTATTTAAATGAGCTGGCGTTAGCTATTCATATTTGTTAATGAACTAGATAGTCACAGCCATAAGAATGAATGTACTGATGGTTTAAATTTTAATATCTAGAAATCAAGGGTAAGGGCCAATTACTGGGATTTTTTACCCTTAAAGGAATAATTAATAGGGATTTAACAAATGCACGACTTGAAACTTCTGGGTAAAAAAAAAAAAAGAAGTTGCTTTTTATTTTTCAAATTAGAACAAACTTTTATTCAGCACATAGCAGACAGGTCTAATTATATAATCTGCCTGTTGTATTTATTTAACCCTGCCTCCTGTCTCAGCGCAAATAGTTCCCCCTCCGAATAAAGTTTAGATTTTGGCTGTACTGAAAATCTCCCATAGACAATTGCAAGTCTAGGGATTCTCTTCAAGTTTGCATTAGAATTGGCAGTGGGGGACTCAGGTGTCTACTTACGGAAACATTAAGACTGGATTCATGTCTTTCCGTGTGCGTTTTCATGATTTTGTACAATCGTGCATTTCCATCATTGGGCCCTATAACGTACATCAAAGCTTAGAAAAATGGAGTTTGCCCACCTTGCCCTGCTATCGTTTGGTATTTTCTGTTCCCGGCTGTATTTTTTTAACATATATTATAGATGATACAGAAAAAAAAAGGAAACACTCAGTTGGACGAGAACAGCCATAACTCCAAACTGGATGGTAGCAGTGAGCTATCACTGTCTTAATTCCCGAGATATATATGACAGGGTGTGACTTAGCAAAGCGGAGTCCACCTACAATGGAAATATCGCATTTGTGAGGACTGACCCTTTAAAGTATGATCACCCACAGTGCAATAGTATACTTGTTGTTTTAAGTGCTGGCTTTATGGCTTTAACCGCCTGATCCATCCCTTAGAACTAGGGAGTCGGCCATTCCAAAGCTAAAAAGCAGTTCAGTTTGCTCGCTCTTGGTCTATTTTTTTTTTCTTATGTCAAACGAATTACTAGCAGCATCTGTATCCGAGCTTCCAAACAAATTATAAACCGCTTGTTAAATCTGATATATTTTTTTTTTTTCATGAGTCAGAAGGGCTGAACATTTTCAGAATCTCACATAAACATTTATCGTCAAAAGCTCCAAGACCTTAAGGTTGCAGGTTTTTGACTAGGGGGAGCTGAGCTAAAGATGGTGGAAAGATAAATACGTTTAATTAGGGGGCATAGGATGATCATTAAAGGAAGTCTGACTGCTGTACAAGTCATTAACAATCTTAAATGAAATTTTTATTTTTATGATAGCCATTTACATGTATAATAAGACCCAATGATTCTTGGGAGCCGGGTGACAGAAACTGAGTGCGACAAGAAGTCTTGTATGACATGCTATTTAAATGAGCTGGCGTTAGCTATTCATATTTGTTAATGAACTAGATAGTCACAGCCATAAGAATGAATGTACTGATGGTTTAAATTTTAATATCTAGAAATCAAGGGTAAGGGCCAATTACTGGGATTTTTTACCCTTAAAGGAATAATTAATAGGGATTTAACAAATGCACGACTTGAAACTTCTGGGTAAAAAAAAAAAAAGAAGTTGCTTTTTATTTTTCAAATTAGAACAAACTTTTATTCAGCACATAGCAGACAGGTCTAATTATATAATCTGCCTGTTGTATTTATTTAACCCTGCCTCCTGTCTCAGCGCAAATAGTTCCCCCTCCGAATAAAGTTTAGATTTTGGCTGTACTGAAAATCTCCCATAGACAATTGCAAGTCTAGGGATTCTCTTCAAGTTTGCATTAGAATTGGCAGTGGGGGACTCAGGTGTCTACTTACGGAAACATTAAGACTGGATTCATGTCTTTCCGTGTGCGTTTTCATGATTTTGTACAATCGTGCATTTCCATCATTGGGCCCTATAACGTACATCAAAGCTTAGAAAAATGGAGGAGGGGGGGGGGGTGTGGTGGGTGGCG